TCAGTGCCGCGGTTCTCAGCGCCACCTCTACCGCCAGTGCCGTTGCGAGCCCTAGTCCTGAGCACGAGCAAAGCAATCCTTTGGCCGAGAGTGAGAATGCTGGTGAAGGAGACTCTGAACCGGTTTCTGCTTCAACCGCCGAAGGCGAGACGCGTCCGGACACACCCTTGCCCGTCATTCCAACCGAGGAGCCTACAATTTCCGAACCATCTTCAAACGATCACACGACAGATCGTCCAGCCATCGCTCACCCGCCATCGTTCGCCTCTTCTGTCTCTCCTTCGTACGACGTCCTCCCATCGTCTCCCGAGTCATCGGTGTCCGACAAGCCGTTATTGGACACCGCCGCGCTCCCGACGCCTTCCACCGAAGGTGAATCCAGCACGACGACTGCCGATTGATCGAGTGCATCCTGGCTTCGGACATGTATACTAATCCACTACTTCGCACGTGAGTTCCAACCTTGTGTGAAACCATGTCCCACACGCTCACTCCATAATCAACCAGCGGTGCAACGCGAACCCTCTAGATTTATATTCGTTTGTCTCTTCGCTCATCTCCACGGACACTCGTTCTACTACCACGTTGATGCTCTTCACGCCTCCTCAATGTCGTTGATGATGGTGATTCTGCACTCGGCTGCAAGGACACATCTTCGCAATCTCGTCTTCCGCACACCACGTCCCAGTCGGCGATCCATCTTGTGCGCTGTATCCCGTACTATTCTCCCCTCTCAGGCCTATATCAATGTATAGATTCACGGTCCGCTGTGTGTATAAATGCCAGTAATTATCAGTCGTGCGTCGGGTATATGGGACATCCGCTGGCGTGTGCCTCTTGAGTCTCGTTGTCTCGCAGCCAATGCCTCGCTGGCTATTGGTAGGCATACAAACTCTGAGAGTTTGCACGGTCGACGGTCGTTCTTGCTCTCACAGTCGAGGACCGGGAATGGACAGAGACCGCGAACCTTGAAAGTTTAAGGCGCTTGCCAACGATGTGTACCTCGTCGATACTCACGACCGGCATTGTTCGCACGAAACATACGTGAGGAGAGTCAGATGGGCCGGAGGTGTACCAGGGATGTCAAGAGAGACTCTCAGGCGAAGGTTGAGAACATCCTGGAACAACGACGGTTTTCCTGGCAGTGGGAGGCGGTGTACCCACGGAGCTTGCGGTCGGCGGGAAACCGCCACGTCACCTTAGCGAGGGCGTCTCCTCATATACTGGCGCTTTTGCCGAGACACCTTCTCTCTCAAAGATTCCAGGCCGCGCCCACTGTACTCTACACTCTCCGGCCATCCTCTCCTTCACCATCCGCTCTCTTGCATATAGAGAGCTCTCCGCCAGGCGACATGGACGCCCCGTGGACCAAGACTGGTGAAGAAGTGCTGCAGCACTACGTCGTGGACCCGACTCGCGGCCTGACTTCGGAGGCCGCTGCTAAACACGCAGAACTCTACGGGAAGAACGGTACGTACACCTTGTAGCGTGCTTTGACTGCCATTCACGTCTGCGGCTGCTCCAGAGCTTCCCGAGGACCCATCAACACCACTATGGGAGCTCATCCTCGAACAGTTCAAGGACCAGCTCGTCCTCATCCTCCTTGCCTCGGCTGTCGTTTCGTTCGTGCTCGCATTATTCGAGGAGTCTGACGGGTCAAGTTGGTGGAGCGCGTTCGTAGAACCTCTCGTCATTCTGCTCATTCTCATCGCCAACGCAACCGTTGGTGTTATCCAGGAGTCCAACGCAGAGAAAGCTATTGATGTCAGTGGTTATGCCCACCGTGCTTCCTGATTGGAGTGCTCACGACCGTACAGGCTTTGAAGGAGTATTCCCCGATGAGGCGAAAGTCCTCCGCGACGGCGCATGGACGCGCATCCACGCGTCCGAGCTCGTTCCCGGAGATATCGTCTCGGTTGCGGTCGGTGACAAGATCCCTGCGGACTGCCAACTCCTCACTGTAGCATCCACGAGCCTACGCGTTGACCAGGCAATCCTTACCGGAGAAAGTGTCAGTGTGAGCAAGTTCACGGACCCCGTCGCGGACCACAGGGCCGTCAAACAGGACATGACGAACATTCTCTTTTCGGTGAGTAATTCGTGCGATGCTGTGTCCACTGCTTCGGTCGCTCAAGTCGGCCTGTTGTACACTAGGGGACCACGGTCGTCAATGGCAAGGGCACTGCCGTTGTTGTTTTCACCGGAGAGAAGACTGCTATTGGTGACATCCACAAGTCTATCAGCTCGCAGATCAGCGAGAAGACTCCACTGAAGCGGAAACTCGACGACTTCGGTGATATGCTCGCCAAGGTCATTACTGTCATCTGCATTATGGTCTGGCTTGTCAATATCCGTCACTTCTGGGACCCCTCGCACCACGGTGTTCTCAAGGGAGCCGTGTACTACTTCAAGATTGCTGTTGCGCTTGCCGTCGCCGCTATCCCTGAGGGCTTGGCTGCTGTAATCACCGCATGCCTCGCCCTTGGCACGAAGAAAATGGCTCAGAAGAACGCGATCGTTCGTAACCTTCCTAGCGTTGAGACTCTTGGTTGCACGAACGTCATCTGCTCCGACAAGACTGGCACCTTGACCACGAACCAGATGAGCGTATCTAAGGTATGTTTCGTCAATCTTCCGCGGGTGACCCACAACTCAGGTTTCACATACTAGTTCACGGTTGTCGACATCTCTGGCACTCCCCGGGAATTCCACGTTGAGGGCACCACGTTTGCGCCTCAAGGGTCGGTAACCCCAGTAGACAGCAAGTCATCTGCTGAAGTCAGCTCAGAACCCCTTCTTCGATTGGCCGAGATCAGCGCTATATGCAATGACTCCAAAATCATCTACCACGCGGTTAGTAGAGATGTTTGTTGTCGTCGTGTATGAACACTGACGCTTGAATGTCTACAGGATAAGAACCTGTACACGAATCTTGGCGAACCTACGGAGGCAGCTTTGAAGGTCCTCGCGGAGAAACTGCCTTGCCCAGACGCTGAGCTGAGCCAGAGTCTCCCTCACCTTGCTCCCGCAGTTCGTGCAAACGCTGTTAACGACTATTACGAACAAAAGATCCCCCGTCTCATGACTTTCGAATTCTCTCGTGACCGCAAGATGATGTCGGTCCTCGCGATGAAGAACGGCACTGGTGTCCTCTACGCGAAGGGTGCTCCCGAGTCAATCCTTGAGCGCTGCTCATCTGTCCTTGTCAACGGCCGGGCCATCCCTCTCGTTCCTCAGCTCCGCGATGCGATCCTCCGCAGCACCATCGCCTACGGCGGCCAAGGTCTTCGCACTCTCGCACTCGCCTACGCGGACAACGTGTCACTTGACCTCGCGAACTACAAGGCCGAAACGACCGCGGAGTACGCTCGCTTCGAGAAGGACCTCATCTTCGTCTCGCTTGTAGGCATGCTCGACCCTCCACGCCCTGAGGTTCGCGAAGCCGTTGCGAAATGCCAGGCTGCGGGTATCCGTGTCATCTGTATCACCGGCGACAACAAGGGCACTGCGGAGACGATTTGCAGGCAGATCGGTATATTCGGCGAGCACGAAGACCTCACTGGAAAGAGTTACACCGGGCGTGAGCTCGACGAACTTAGCCCCGACGAGAAGCTCAAGGCCGTGATGCGTGCGAGCCTCTTCACCCGTACAGAACCTACACACAAGAGTCAGCTCGTCGATCTCCTTCAAAGCCAAGGTCTAGTTGTTGCGATGGTGCGTTGCCTATCTTCCGTCCTTTGGTCAGCGCTTGACAATTTTTGAAGACCGGTGACGGCGTAAACGACGCGCCCGCGCTCAAGAAGGCTGATATCGGTGTTGCTATGGGAAGTGGTACCGACGTTGCGAAGCTCGCGGCGGACATGGTGCTCACGGACTCCAACTTCGCCACGATCGAGCAAGCTGTCGAAGAGGGTCGGTTGATCTACAACAACACGAAGCAGTTCATCCGCTACCTCAGTACGTCTTCCTTCCTTCTTACGGTGAGAGCGTAATAATTGAGAGAATATTTCAAGTCTCTTCGAACATCGGCGAGGTTGTCAGCATCTTCCTGACAGTCCTCCTTGGCATGCCCGAGGCGCTCATCCCCGTGCAACTGCTCTGGGTGAACTTGGTTACGGACAGTCTGCCAGCGACCGCGCTCGGTTTCAACCCGCCAGACCACAGCATCATGCGCGTACCACCCCGAGACAGTCGCGAACCCATCGTCGGCAAGTGGCTGTTCTTCCGGTACATGGTCATCGGAATCTACGTTGGTTTCGCGACTGTTGCTGGATACGCATGGTGGTTCCTCTTCTACTCCGGAGGACCCCAGATCTCCTTCTACCAACTCGTACGTCACTGTTTCGTTACCTTGCCTCGCCGTGCGACGCAACTGACTTCGTCGATGCAGACGCACTTCCACCAATGCTCGAGTCTCTTCCCCGAGATCGGCTGTGAGATGTTCACCAACGAGATGTCGCGGACCGCAACGACGATGTCGCTCTCGATCCTCGTCACCGTCGAAATGTTCAACGCGATGAACTCCCTGTCCGAGAACGAGAGTCTCCTGAGGTTACCGCTCTGGAAGAACCCCTTCCTCGTCGGCGCCATCGCACTTAGCATGGCGTTGCATGTCGCGATCCTCTACATTCCCGTCTTCACCGTAAGCAGTTGCATCACGACATACCTTGCGTCTCGCTGAATGTTGTTATTCTCTGCAGACCCTGTTCGCGATCACTCCTCTCAACTGGACAGAATGGCAGGCAGTACTGTATATCAGCGCGCCCGTCGTCCTTATTGACGAGGTGCTCAAATTCGTCACTGTGAGTCTATCGTCGCAAGGACAACTGCTCAAGCTGACTGACTGTTCATAACTCATCAGGCGACATTCATCTCTCCACCATCGAAGATGAAGGTAGACTAGATGTTGATATAGATCATGTGTTCGTTATATGGGGACATTGTAATGTCTTATGATAATCGCTTCTGTTAAAGCTCGAACTCATAACCTAAAAAGATGTCTGCCCCGATGAGGCTCGAACTCATGACCTTCCGATGATTGCCTAATTAGCGTTTAAGGCTTAACAGTCGGACGCTGTAACCAACTCAGCCACGGGGCACATAGCAAGCGGGCCACACAAGCTTCCATAGACAGACAACAGTTGTACATACCAATAGGGCTCGTGTAAGCAGCCACGCGGAATGCCTGTGTGCCGCAATGTGCATGGCTCCTCACTATGCTCGTCGAACACATGGGGAGAGTTGACTGGAGTATCGGACGATGACAAGAAAAGCATTGAGAAAATAGCCGTGGAATTAGCAGGCCGTCCGTCGTGGGCTCCCGTTCTCGACCGTCGACGTTTGTGTACGCCGCTGGCGGTAGTACGCGGCAGTATCCTCACAACGGTGAGTGGACTCCGACGTGTGCGGAATTCGCGTGGTTTAGTATTGCTCACAATATCGTCAAGACCGCTTTGAACGCTTTGAGAATTGTCACGATGGAATGATCATCTCATTGGACCGATATCACGGTCGTGAGAGTGCACCGGTTCGCCAGTTCATGATCAACCGCCATCCGTGAGTGCACACTCAGTTCGGAACCTCTGACGCCACAAGCATTTACCAGTTAACAGTAGATGGGTCTGAGCGGTCGGTCGTATGCATACGAAGCATCTATAGTCGGAAGTGATATGGCAATTGATGAACCTTGTTAGGTTACTTTATCATTCTCACAAGGTTAGTTTTGTGTGCATATGTATCATACGCCCTTCTACTCTCAGGCATGTACATAGTAGCCGGCTCCTCATGGCCATGGCTGCCCGGGACCGCGGTGCGGCCTAGTAGTGCTTGGACTCTGGAGTAAGTCTAGTACTTACATCAACACTACATATCGAGCACACAGTTAGCCGACGCCATCCGTGAACGCTGCCAACTTGCGCCTCCGAGTCGCCTAAACGCATTATGGACCGATGTACTGATCACCTCGGGCCCGCTGGAAGAGCGTCATGCATCGTGCGCCACCGACGTCGACTGCATGGAGAGGCTCTGGCTTCGCTCCAAGCACGCCGCACACGAGCACCACGTTGAAACGCAGGAGGCTGAGGAGCTCGACAACTTGCGGCGCTGTCTCCAAGCTGCCGTACGCGAGTCCCACAAGCATCCGAGCCCCGACTTCTGTCTTCCCCGCGCGGCACGCGCCGGTAATCAAGGTGGACAGATTGTTGGTGCATAGGCGAGATCATGACGAGATACATACGCCACGCGCAATATGAAGTTGTCTTTTCCGGAATTGATGGCGCGGAGACTAACGTTCTTGTCTCTTGTGCGACCTTCAAATTCAGTGGTAGAATGTTCTGATCAGCGGCGGTAAGTAATCCACACGATAAGTGGCTGAAACGTTATCGACGGATAAATAGACAACGTCTGGCCCGCAGCGATATTTCACGCGCACATTCGGGGCACTGACAGGCGGCATGCGACGATACCACACCACCCTGCAGGGTACGGAAACAGCGAGAAGACGTGTGCAAGGAGGTAGCGTGACTAACTATACAGTACAATATCCATGGGCTAGACAGGTAGATATCCCACGTAGGTCTGCAAGAGGGGAGGGAAGTACAGCCTTGACAGGCCACGATGCAGCCTCTGATTCCCAGCCGGAGCATCTATGCCAGCATTGGGAATGACAAGATGCGATCCATCGAACTCAAACCCTGGTGTCGCTCTCAGCAGCATGGGTCGCGCGCCCATGCGCGTGTGCTGGCAGGTCCTCCGGCGGCACAACGTCGAAGCCACTACGTCCCAAGTCCGAGGGAAGGGCTGCCGTGTCGTCGAGCGCCTCTTCGGCAAGCAGAGTCTGTGTCTCGCCTTCATCTTCCATCGGCGCCGCAACGGCCCGCTCAGAAGCAGATCGGAGGAAGCGCGGGGGAGTGACAAGGTGGTTAAAGAGGAACTGTGGGAAACCGTCAGCAATTGGGGCATCGGAGGTCTTGGAGGCGCGAGAACATCCTTACCGTGCCGTATCTACCAAGTCAGCGCCCGCCGGTGTCAGTAATCATGCATGCAGGTTCATCAAGAATACGTAGGAAACTTACACAAGGAGCCCAAAGCCGCCAACTTGCAACAGAGAAATGGGCCACACTAGGACTTCCCAACCCAGACCCAAACTGACGATCCAAATGCTGAGAGTCCTGCAAGTATCTGTCAAGCTACGAGCAGTCGCACTGACATGTCGGGTCACACTGAGTCCGAAGAAGTTGAATAGCGAGATCGAAACCGCGATGACGAGGCCGGAGTAGAGGACCGACGGCGTGTCAATCATTTGGTGCCATCCGCGTGGAAGGTCAAAGAATGGCGAAACAGACGCGTAGCACGCAAGAAGGGGCATCGCGAGCACGATGCTGACCGCGCCGAACAAGCCTTCGAATCCAACGGCGACCAAAGGAGCAACTGAGTAACGGCCCATGATCTTTTCTGTGTGCGCAGCGTGCAAACATATCAGCAGTGCTCAGGATTATGTATGCAGCGGCAGGATAACGACCTTCGATCACGAATTGAGCGGCCGTGCTGGGCAAAGTCAAGGTCAGCACAAAGTACGTTCCACACAAGCAGCCGGCCCCCGAAGATAGCTCGCGGTGGCATGGACAATCGCGGATATGACTGAGATGTAGACGTACAAGATCTGAGCGAACAGTATGAAGAACACGCCTGCGGTGCGCAGTCAGATGACATCGAAGCAGGCTGCGCGATGAATATCAGACTCACCAACGAGAACCTTGGTAACTTCGGGCTCTTCGATAGGTTCAGGCGGTGGCAGGTCGTCCGATGCGTTCAGGCTAGGTTCCTTGACGGCGTCCTTGACCATAGAACCGCTAAGACCGACGAGGGAGATACCTGCCATTACCGTAATAAGGGAAATCCATCTTTGGAACAAGAGTCAGCCAAGGTTCTACACGAGAGCACACCGATGTTTGGGCAGGCTTTATCGGGGAGAATGGGTGGGAGACAGGGTTGCACTCAACTGGTAAAGCCAAAGACGTCTGCGGAGGAAGATGACAGAGAGAACGCCGACAAAGAGCACGAGAGCACCACGGGTCATCTGATAGATCGAGACCGGGGTATACAGCAAACCGACGTTCATCAGCTGTATGGTCGCATTGTGACGAAAGAGTCATCATGAGAAGAAGCAAACGGTTAAGGTCAAGCGGGAGACGCACTGTCGTGCCGGTGAGATCGCAAGCCGCTGGGAACCAGAGTAGGAGGAGTTTCCAGCCACGAAGGCGAGCTTGTGAGACTTCAGCCTTTGCGCCGGCGGCAGGCTCCTCTTCGGAATCGGAAGGGAGGCGTAGCGGCTGAGTTTGCTGCTTGGCGCGTACCCAGGAAAAGATGACAGGGAGGAAGCCTAACGGGGACACGTGTTAACGCGTACTGACGAGATGTGGGATAGTCGACGGAATGGACGTACAGAGCATCTCTCCGACTAGTGCGGACGGTGACACGGGATAAGTAGTGTGCATACACACGATATGGGACACACGCACGGAACATCTGAAGCGTCTGCCACACTGGCTGCTCATAGAGGACATGGTTTGTAGGGTTCTTGTCGTCGCAATTCTCTACGCATTGCATGTCCTGTGGTACAGGAGATGAGTATGGATGCATATATGCGCATACAAAGCTGAATGCACCTGCCACTTGCTCCAGAGCGAGTTACTGGAGCCCTAGAAGGGTATGAGAACGGCGAGGAGGAGAGATGGAAGATCGAAACTGACGGTGATGAGCATACCGGCGATGAGAATGGGGACATATGGCGAGGAGGGCATGGCGGGCGACGACGGCGGGGGCGTTCAGACTGGCTGAGCTCTCAGCTCGTCGTGGCGGGTGACGGAGAGAGGGTGGGTGGGCGCCTGTAGTGGGGGTGAGAGAAGCGTCGGATGGAAGGGTCCCGGAAAGGGAAGCAAGGTGATCGGGGAAATAATTAAATAAGTAATGGGGGAAACGAAGAAGGAGGGACGGAATTCTATTCTTTGGCGGCCGGGCTTTGGGCTGGTTGGAAGGATCAGCCAATGTTCGCGTACTTATATCCTCGCCGGCCTCTTCTCGTCCTCCTCCCTCCTCCCCATGGTCCACCTCGTCGTCTCCACAACACGGGGCAACTCCGGGAGCCGCTTCTTCCCCCACCAGGGCTACTTAGGTCTCACCCCCGTCCGCGTCGAAGGCGGTATGTCCTCTCCCCCTGCCCCCCTCCCCGCAGCTCACCTCTGTTCGCAGTCGTGCGCACCAAGTTCGACGAAGATGCCCGTCCAATCCTTGCAAAGTCTCTCTCCATCTCCGTCCGCTGCTACCAGTCCCGCCTCACCCGCTCTCGCTCCTTTCGCTCCACCCTCGTCGTAGACCACACGGACGTCCTCTGGATCAAGCCCCAAGACAAAGACTATGCCGACGTAGGCGAGCTCGAGTTCCCGTTCAAAATCACCCTTCCAAAACGCACCCTCGGCTTCAGCACCGCAAACTACCAAGATTACCGCGTCTTCTGGCGTTTAGAAGCCAGTAAGTCATCACATTCTCTGCCCCGCTTGTCGCCCCCATCTGCCATCTGCCACGATCATCGTAATGACTTCTTGTCACCCGTGTCTCTCAAGTCCTCGACCATGTACCCATTCCCAGTGTCGGCTCCCGCATTGTTCGCTATTACGACCTCGCCCTTCTACGCTACGATCTTCCGCCGTCAATACAGCCGAAACATCCCGCGTCCCAACACTCACTCATTCATCAAACAACCAAACCCCGTGCACCCGTCCTGCGTTACAACGTGTGCACTCCTACACCCCCGGTAGGGCCTTCTGACCTCATATATGCGACTCTCCTTCTTCAGCCACAGGACCATGGGGTCACCATCCGAAGCGCGACAGTCTCGGTCGAGCGTCGGATTGAACTTTATCACGCTCCCGCTGTTCCAACACCATTGATCACGACAGGCATCAATCATCCTATTGCTGCTTCTGCCTCCCCTGTTGCGACTTTCTCGCCCGCTTCCCCGACTCCATCTTCGCATTTCGATGATGATGCACGCACACCAACGACAGCTCAGTTTGCTTCTGTTTCTAGTCATACCGAATCC